TTTTTTTTTTTTGAGACAGGGTCTCACTATGTAGTGAGACTGACCTGGAACTCACTGTGTAGCACACACAGGCTGGTCTTGAACTCACAGTGATCCTCCTGCCTCAGCCTCCCAAGAGTGCTGGGATTAAAGGTGTGCACCACCACGCTGGGTTGGTGCTGCTTTTTTATGAGACATCTGATCTTAGTTCTCTACAGTTTTTGACTAGTCACTTTGCTTTCCCCAACTTCCTCTTCAGGGGCATTTAGTTTGCAGTGATGCCAAAATTATTTTTATCACAACTGTGCTGCATTGTATTTACTTGTGTATTTATACCTCTCTATAACACAAAAAGCTTTATGATGGAAGCCACTCTGCCTGTCCCGGTGCCCTTGCAGTATTGAGGTGTCTCCTTGCAACTGAAAATTTGTAGCAGCCTAAACTTCATAGATTCAATTACTTCTCACAATTATTCCCAAGTTTTAAGATTTCATATCCTGGTAATATTTCACCCAATGGAGGCATCTGGCAATTTCCCCAGGAGACATTTGGTCATTTCCAGACAGTTTTGGTTATCAAAATTGGCAGGGGTGGTAGCGGCTGAGATGCTACTGACTACTAGTGCACAGAGGCCAGTAACGGTGCTAAACATACCCTTCCATGCTCAGGTTGGCCCAACAACAAAATGTCAAAAGTGCCGAGGCTGGTCAATCAAATTTAAGCCAAATGGCGGCTGTTGCACAATTCTTGCATGTGGCTGCCTGAGCTTTGTGCTACTTAGGATAGTGAGAACTTCGGCAGCTTATGGCAATGGTGTGATTAGCTTCCTTGGAATTTTAACATTCTGAATATGGAATTACTTCTGGCTGGCCCCATTTATTACATTTGACCTAGACAGCCTTTAAAAGCCATTTGGTAACTATTCTAATTGTTCTTAACAGGGCAGCAATAAGGGTCCCTCTACAGGAGAAGATGTAACAATGCAAAAAAGAATTAAAATATGACTTCTAGCTTTTTTCTTCTACTATATTAAACTTGTGAATGTTTTAAAGAGCTTAACTTTCACGACTACCAACTATTCTTAAACAAAGCTATTCTTATTAATAGAGGCAGTTAGATGTGGTAAATGGAAGGGAATAAGCAAAACACAAATCCCCTCGTATTCCTCACGCTTGCTTCCCATACTGGCTGTAAGTACCATCAAATCTTGAATTTTCAATGAGCAGCTAAAAATCAATGATACTAATGTTCTCTTTTACAGTTTCCTCTGTAATGAAGAATGTAAAAGGTGATGCTGGATTAACTAAAAACTGAATTATATGGCCCTGAAAATTCCACCAAAAATTATTAAATCTTTCAAATATTTGAATCATGCCAAGGCTTCTAATAATGTATTTGTTAAAATACTGACTTATATGACTTAAGGCATATATGACTTACTACTTTAAAATGGAAACAGCTAGAAGCAGATGTGTTTCTTCCTTAAACTTCAATTAAAAACACACAAACCAAAATGTTGGGTTTTTTTGTTTGTTTGTTTTGATACCGGGGATTGAGCTCGGTCCAGTCCTTGCACTTAGGAGGCAGGTGGCAGAATCACTGAGCTAAATCCCCAGCCCCAAAAATCTTTAGTTCATCTTTCAATCAGTTTAAATTTTGACTTATTTCTCTAAGAACAGAATTCAATGATGAATATTAGAATTCTGGGTATGAAATTTTAGCATCTAATAAAAACCCTGACTAGCCAATTCTAATTTGTCATTTTAAAAAGTGAGGGAAAAGATTTACCTTAATATTTCCTATTGCTAAGTAATTTTACTACTACTTTATAATCATAAGTGGCATGATTTCATAACTACAGTTAACAAAAACATTTAAATGTTATCCTCCTCCCTAAACAACTATTACCAAAGAGTTCCAAGATACAGGAGAATACTTGTCATGAATACTCTCTTGCACAGCTTTTGGAATCTTTGCAACACCTCATTCACCCATCTCAGATCCACTTATTCCCGAGAATCTTTTATTCCCAGATGCACATGTTTATGAACAGTCTATTTTGAAAACCTTCCCTACTTCATTACTTTATTTTAAAAAAATTTTATTTTTGGGGAGGGAGACAGTCTGTTGCCCAACCTGGCCTTGAACTCAAAACCATTCCACCTTAACGTCCCGACTAGCAGGGATTACAAATACATGTCACCACACCTGGCTTTTCATCTATCTTCGGACTCAGTTCAAATGATTCCTCCTTTGTTAAGTATCCCTGACTATTGCAATAATCAATTTCTCTTCCTCCTAATTTCTCAGTGTTCTCCACATCCAGTACAGCACTTAGCAAAATATCCCAGTTGTTAGTGTCGGTCCCCACCACTTCCCAACCACTTTAATCCATGTATTCTCAGCATCTACTCTTAGACCTTAAAACTCATCTGCTAAGATTTTTCTTTTTTGCTATGATTTTTTATGTGACAGGAAAAACTGCAATGTCCACACATTTAAAGAGTATCATATTCCTTATAATCCAAGTTTATTAGACATTAATTTGTCTAAGATTAAAATAATTAACTAGCTCAAGCAGACTGTTTCTAAATTCTAAAGATATAGGGAAATTCAACTACACAAACCTAACATGGTTGGAAACCTAAAATACATGGAGTTTGCTTTAAGGGAGAAAAGAGGAAAAAAAAATGAACTTCCCTTAAAAAAGAATAATTGCATGTTATATGTTTATCAAACACTCTGCTTCATTTAGGCATTTAATTAAGCCATTTATTGCTTCAAATGTGTCACCATGAACATTTTAATATACACTCCACAGCAGTAAGGCCTCAATTTGATCACCTATAAATTGTGAACCCACATTTGGACTTTTGTGCCACCAATCGTTACACAAATTTTGTACAACAAAGATTTTGAATGCCCTTGGTGTAAAAGTCACAAAAAATAATAGTAGTTGGCCACTTTTATTTTAATGAGGTAGTTCCATGTTTAGCCCATTTTATATATACCTATCTATAGATATATGTAACTTACCTATATATCTATATATAGCTTTATATCTGGTATTAGTAGACTATCACTAAATACTTGCACAAAGTTTTGGTTTACATTTTTATATACACTTCATAAAATATTCATTCCTTAAGTCTAAAACGTGTCAAAGCGTTTTCTCAGCAATTTGGTAAGAAACAGAATTTAGAAACTGGAAGAGGCTATAGCAGATGGATACAGGGATGTTCCTGACTCAGACAAGGAACTTTCTTTTTTAAAATAAGGCTGTGCATAAGGCATTTTCCTTTTATCAATTCTTGTTTTAAATAAAACGAGGTTGGAAACATCATAATACGTAATTAGAAGACATAAACGACACATTGGAGCATCTCCAGGCAACCTACTAATAAGCTAACTGAACAATATTGCTTCTTAAAGATTTATCAAACCTCCATGAAAATATTGAGAATTATGAAATTATGATATCTGTGATCATATGAAATGAGTACCCACAAATGAACCTAACTTATCTGTTGGGCAAACAGTTATAAAATCAGACTATGGCAGCTGAGTACTGTGGAATCCCAAAGCTGGAAAAGATCTCTGGATTTTCCTTTCTAATCTATTTCCTTTAGGTAGTATTGCATAGATTTTACACTGTCTTTTGAATAAGTTCTATGAGGCTCAGAAGTTCAATTAAAGCAGAAATCTGATGGACCTAGTACTTCAATATAAAGAAAATAAGACATAATAACTATCTTAAAAGTTTTAAGCATTTTTCTATATTTCAAATAAAACTTCCACTGTATAAAATCTATAATTTAAGTAGCACCGAAGATTAAACCTTAGGAGTGCTTTAAAGACATTCTACAACTAGCACTACCCTGGTTTAATAAGGCCCAGAGTGATTCAAAATTTGAATTAACTGTCATACCTGTATGTCAAGATTTAAAAATAGAGCTGAATTTTAAGTTCCAATCTAAGGGTCTTTTTACTCATACTGGCCACACTGCCTCCAGCCAAAACATTCATAACCATTCTTTTTGTCTCATTTTGCTGTAATTAGATTTCTTTTAAGTCCCTTAGACTGAAGGAAAAGCTGGAAAGTGTTCTAGAAAAATACATTGGCATTTCAATTTTACATTGAAAATGTCTTTCCCTTATTCTAGCACAAATTCCAAACATTATTACATAAATCACAGATTACACAATAGCCTATGTCCTGGGCCTCTGTCCTCTTTAGATTATGAAAACCAGAAGGTAATTAGAATTAAGACATTTTCATTATTAAATGTGTAAAGTATAAATACAAGTAATTTTTTAAAAACTTTATTTTAACACCTAATACAATTCCAATTTTAAGGAATACTTGCACAAAAAAATAAACACATTTGGTATAAAAATGTATCACTTTAACACCCTTTCCCCATCAACCCCCACCCCACCCGCATGAACTGCACTCTATCTGGATGCAGAAACATATAAAGACTAATGGCACAGATTCGTTTTTACCTACAGGAATTTCTGTTTATGTACCCAGGTACTCTAGAGGACACCAGCCCACTTTATCACATGAACTATTTCTTTCAGCCTGCTGAATCAGTTTCACAAAGAAACAAAGCTTACTATAAAGGCATTTTAAAAACCATTATCTTAAATTCTTTTCAGAAGGACTTTTTCTTTGCAACCGTTTATATACAGTGTTACATAACAGCTCTGGAGTACAGTACATGCAGCAGAATATACCTGTTGAATATAAAATACTTTTCTTAAAATCTTCATCGTTGGAATTCTTTGAAGTCTAAATTATAGAATGCCCATTACTTTGAGAAAATGGTTGAGAAGTACAAATGTCTGCATATGTTGGCCACAGAAATAATCCAAGGCTAACTGGAATAATATTTGTAGCACACCAGGAGTGCATAAATAATTTACTTACATTATTAAAATACAACCCATAAAATTCAAGTTCAAGGCCTTAAAGGATTCTCTGTAAATCCTTTAAGTGGTTGCCTGGAAATGAGTTGTTTCCTCTTTCTCTTTTCTTCTTTTTTACAGTCCCATATAAAATGCTGAGCTGCAGTTTCTCTCTTCTTCGAATGAACGGCACCTTTATTTATGTCTGCTGCCTCTTCTCTTCATTGCCGCAGTGCACTGTGGACAATACCATTTTCCTTTTGGTGCTTCTGTCAAGCCAACACATCCGTAATGGAACCACTCTATTGGGCACTGAAAAGCAAGATAAGTTTAGTACTTCTAAAGAATAGAATATTAAAATACACCAAAGAGACGCTAAATATTTTCATTTAATTAAAAGTAGATTTGTGAGGTCAGAAATTTGTAGAGCTAGGAGATAATTTTGAGAGCACTTAGTCCAATTTATAAACTTCATGATGGAGAAATAGAGACACAAAAATTAAGTATCTGATAACTGAGTTTCATGTAATCTATTCTAAAAATACTAAATAACGAACCAAAATTTATTAATTTTCATTAACTTGGATAGCCAGGAAATGGTACAAGCCTGAAATCTCAGCACTGCAGGAGACTGAGGCAGGAGGAACACAAGATCAAGCCTAGCCTGGCAACTTAGTTACTTGGTGACACCCTGTCTCAAAATAAAAACATTTTTAAAAAGGCTGAGGATGGAGCTAAGTGCAAAGGCCTGGGGCTCCATCTCCAGAACCCCCACCTCCCTCAATAGACACACAAAGACAGTCTTTACATTCAGAGGCACAGTAAGGAATGAGAAGAGTTTGAGAGCATGTGGTGCTGATATTTGCAGGAATCTCACTTCATTTCTCCCACCTGCCCTAGAAGACAGCCTACGGTAATGTTCTTGGAGTAGTGGGGTAACAGTTTTGAATAACCACAAGCAGCCCCCAGGTGATTTAGACAGGACAGTGGGAGGCAGATCTGTTGCCATCTATGTGTACAAATGTTTAGGGAAAGGTACAAATTTTAGGACAGCAAGACAATCCCTGTCAACCCTCAGATTGTGTTTCAGAGTTGAAACTCTTTATTAATCATGGGATTTTGAAATTACTGACTAGAATGTCCATACAATTGAGGGTTCTGTTACCCGTTGGGGTAAGAAGGACAAAAGGAAGAAGCTGTTAGAATGTAAGGACAAAGTCCAAATTACTAAACAAAAATATTTTCACTAATAAAACATATATCAAAACTTAGGTTTCCTAAAGAAGAAATAGGAATTTTTTCCCCTTTTAAATTGCCTTTATTTTTCATGTCAGAGGTGGCTCTTACTAGCTTTTTTGAGTATGGAAGGAAATACTATACTAATGGTAAGAGAAATAATCTCACAGTAGATCCTCAATTGTTCCTTAGCATCATGCCTCCTAAAAACATGTACTGTTTAAAAGTTCTATTTCTTCCATGTAATAAACGAACTGGACTCCAATAACTAAACACAGTACCTTTAAGAGGACAGGATGTTTATAACTTACATTTATATATACTTATGAAAAATATAATCTGTATAATAACATAATAAAAGTAGCTCTAAAAATTTAAATAGGGAACACACTAAAGGATACTATCCTATTGTGGAAAAGAAATTTTTACATTAGTAAAAGATTAACAGCAAACCTGTTTTTTTTTTAAACTAGAAGAAACAGTAAATATGAATATTCAAGAAACAATGATTGATTATTTTTTCACTGTTAAACAGAAAAATTTAATACTTACATCTTGGTTATCACATCCCACCATCTCACCGTAAGATACCTAGTTGAAAATAAATATTTTTATTATGACTATATAACAAGCACCTAACTGTGAATTATGAGAATGAAACAAAAATTGACTGAATATACAATCAAGTTATTTAGTAGTTTTCTAAATGATTTTCTTGGGACACAGGAGCAAGGGGATATGCGCAGAAATTATCTGCTCCTTCAAATTCAGGAAGAACTGGCTCTGTAACCCCTAGACTTCAGACTCACCTTTGTGGGTCTTACTGTAAAATTTTAAAGTTTCTTCCTCAGTTATTTACTGGCTAAAATTTTTACTTCTTCCTGGGTCATGTCAAGTCATTCATATTAGGCAGTCAATAGTCCATTTCCTTGAAACTTCTATACTTCCCACCTAGTATATGTCTCTTCTCATTTTTCTTTTACTGTTTATCATCAGCACTTTACAGTAATTCCTGAAGTCACCTACATTCTCAGTGGACTGACGTTTCAGATATGGCACACTTGCCAATTCTCTGCATGGGTGAGAATATCTATGTGGTACTCTGAACAGGAACAAGCTCTCTGGCTATCATGTGTTTGAGCACTCTCAATTTTCCCCTCAAAGCTCTACAGACATATCCACGTCACGTTCCACGTTTCTAGTGGTGCAGATGAAAACTCTAGGGTCAATTTGAATTTCTTTTTTTATAGGTAACCTACACTCAAAGTAAAGATATTTACAGAATTTATTTTTCTGATCACTGATACTTAAAAAATGTTCATCAGGAGATGGTAGAAGAGCTAACAACTGTTAAAACTCAAAAATTAGACTAGTAAGTCATGCCATAAATTAAACTACAGATTAAAAAATTTAAAAAAGGCTGGAGATATAGCTCAGTATGAAAGCCCTGGATTCCTCAGATCAATCCTCAGTAACACTAGAAAAAGGAAAAAGGATACACAGCTGACTTCACAAAGAAAAAAAAATGATAGTTATAAGTACATAAGATCGAAATTTTAGGATAAAAAATAAAGCAAGCACTGGGAGATTTAGCTCAGTGGTTCCGCTGCCTGCTTCTTGAGAGCAAGGTCCTGAGTTCAATCCCCTGTACCAAAAAAACAAAACAAAACAAAACAAACAACCCCCCCCAAAAAAAAGAAATACAGCAAGCAAACTATAGTGTACATAACAAAAGCAATAAGAAAAATCAGGCAACGTTATGAGAAGTTAATTCATGAAAGAATAAAAATGGTCAAAGAAAGGTCCAGTCAAAATGATTATGTAATACAAAAACTATTAAATTGCCATTTGGGTTTTTTGTTTGTTTGTTTTGTTTTTTCTTTCTGGTACCAGGGATTAAACTCAGGACCTTGATCTTGCAAGGCAGGCGTGACTCCACTTAGCTACATATAAAAATAAGCAGTGTAACAGTTGACAAATAAGCGTGCCCATCTATTTTCTGACAATAAAATTCTAGAAGGTATCTTGGTAGTCTGTATCAAATACTTATTTTATTTATGAAGGATTATCCTAGAAATTAGGTTTATAAAACAAATGACATTTTAAAAATGCCTATCATTACATTATTTGTAATTTAAAAAATCAAAACCACTAAAATAATCTACAGCTAATCATGGGTTAAATAAGTGAAGAGAAATAGTACAAGATACACTTTGAGAACACTAAAAAATGACTAAAAAATAGTCATGTTCAGTGTACGTGCTTTAGTGAAAAAAGCCAATTTCAAAAGAGTATATAACATACAGTGGTTCCAGTCAAATTCATACACACGTTATCTGTGCAGATATGCATTACAGAATGAGTGCCACCCCCATAAAAAACAAAGAATGCATGCCAGTATCCTCCCCAGATTCTTCATGTCAAAACACCAAACCCCAGTGTGATGGCATGAGGAAAGGGACTGCAAAGACAGGTTAAGTGAGGCCATAGGATGGGACTCTAACCTAATAGGGCAGTACCCATGTTAGAAGGGACATCACTTTGCAAATGGGAAGGGGACCAAGAGATGGAGGGAAGAGAGTGAGGAGCAAGAAAAGGGAAGTAAAAAGAATTAATATGTATTATATAATGTGCCAATTTCCCAAAATGAATGTAATAATTATGTACTGTAAACATGTACTAATAAAAGTAAAAAATACTAAAAAAAAGAAGGGACACCAGAGCTGCTATATAAGTGCAAGTGAGAAGGCAGCTACCTATAAGCTAGGTAGAGATTCTCACTGGAAACAGAATTGGCTAGCACTTGCATTCTGGACTTCCTAGACTTTAAAACTGTGAGATAATACACTTCTACTGTTTGGGCTAACCCATCTGCGGCACTTTACGACAGCAACTATGCATTCAGGGAGTACAACAGTGGTTCATCAAAGTGTTTAATTACAGGGTGCATCTGAGGGCTCAGATTCTGTGTAACATATTTAATTTTCTATACACTTCCAGCAATCAAGTCACCTAAGGGGAAAAAAGTAAACAAAGCAAGGGTATTTTAACTGGAATAAAGGGTGCTTAAGAATTAAATAGTTCTCTTCTTCCTAGTTTATGCAGATTGTGCTTTTAGAGACACATGCCAGATTTTTTACCTGATTACAAATGCAATATCGAGGTTCATTCGGGTCGTAAGTCCAATCAACCTGACTATTTGAATCAGATTCTGGCACTACTGTTGTCTGCTGGGAGATTTCCTGTACAACAGTTGATGATGAAGAACACGACGATAAGGAAGAAGAAGAGGAGGAGGATGATGACTGCTGGCTTGAAGACTTATTGTTATTTCTGGAAAAAAGACATTGGTTTTATTTGTTCATTATCAGAACTGACCTGAGAATAACTCCTAGATAAGTGATAAGGGAAGAGAAATGAAGTGGTATTAAATGTATATAATACATTTCAGGAATCTAATTTGAAAGTCCACTTGGTTCAGAACAAAAAGTAACATTTTTAATAGTTTATTTTAATGTGGAATGTTTTACTTTCTGGAGAATAAAGGTATACTGAATACTTACTAAAAATCCAAGACACAAATATACCAAAGTATCTCATGAAAATAATTATGATTCTTTACTAATGTGTGACTACTTCTCATATGTAGGACAGGGGAAAAAAGTGTTGAAATTCACAAATTATACACCACTACCTCTACACTAATTAAATTTTAAAAATACAGAACAGAAATTTACTATAGGGAGTTACATTAAATCTGCCTCATTAAGATTTACTCATTTTCAAGATAACTGACAGTTTTTTTGGGGACAGGGTCTTGCTCTGTAGTTCAGGCTGTCCTTGAGCTTATTATGTAGCTCAGGCTGGTCTCGAACTCACAGCAATCCTACTGCCTGAGCCTCCCGAGTGCTGGGATTACAGAGGTGCACCACCAAGCCCAGCTGAGATGACTGACAGTTCTATGGTTATTTCACAATCATTCTTTTAGGGTCATATTTACAGAAAATACATTTTAAAATAAATTATTATAATATAATGATTAACTCATCTTTTGGCTTGACATTTGAACTTTCACTATATATAAACACCCAGATGGTTCCAAATGATGTTTAAGTTTTCACATTCAAAGTTCATAGAAGAGCAGAGACAAGGGGAAAAAATGAGAAGCAAGACCTGTCATGTAAAGGTACAAGATCCCAATAATGAATGTAACTGTACGATATGGCTAAAATGTACCAATAAACTCAATTAAAAATAAAATAAAGATCATATAACAGGGACAGGGATTTAGCTCAGTGTTTCCGCCACCTGCCTTGCAAGCACAAGGTCCTGAGTTCAATCCCTGATTCCAACCAAAAAAAAAAAAAAAAAAAAAAAAAAAAAAAAAAGTAAAGATCATATAACATTCTAAGAATGTCACATACAAACTCTAGGAACATCATATCGTCAATTTTGGGACATGAAAACAAGAATTAAGATACTCTGCTATTGTGCAAAAATGAAAAAAAGTTTTAAATTCCTAAGATATAATATGCACGTTATATATTAATTTACCTTGAAGCAAATGCAAATAGGAGGCTATAAATGGAAAACAATACATAAATGGCTTTCCCTAATGAATAAAATAAAGCAAACTTGTCTTTTAACAAATTCAATTTAGGACTAGAAAACTAAAAACTAACACTTTTTAAGACTTTTTGAAGAATGGCAGTGAAAATGAAAACTTCTTGCCCTTCTACATCTACAAGGTTGATCTACACCCATTATGTCCTGCATTGTTTAATACGCTGAGGCTCAGCTGAAACACAAAATAGGCTGAGGACCCAGCAAAGGTCAGAGGCTCTTGTTACAGGAAAACTTACTTGCTCTTCCGACCGCTGCGTGAGTCGGCGGCTGACGAACTCGTGTTCTGTGTTAATGTTGTCATGAGTGCTGAAGACGATGAATAGCCAGCTCCTTCCCTGGGCATTGAAAATTCTTTTCCCAACTGAAAATCATTATTCTTAAATGCTTCGTAACTGGCTTTTAAACTTGATGTCCTTCGTCCTTCTTTCATCTTAAATAGACATCCATTTACCGTTAAAGTATGTAAATGTAGATTTTTTTTTTTAAAGTTTATGTTACAGTATTTTTTTGGGTACCAGAAATCGAACTCAGGACCTTGCACTTGTGAGGCAGGCGATGGCACCACTGAGCTAAATCCCTAGCCCTACAGTATTATTTTTATCTAATATCAATTATTTTGTTTAAACTACTATCTTCGTCAATGGTACTTAAGCTATTTCACGTAAAGATGTAAAAATCAGCTTTTATACAAGTAAGGAGTAACTATAGAAAAGGGTCACTTCTCAATCTGAAACGTGGACAAACTACAGAAGTGAACAAACAAGCTATCCTAAGTCTTCAGGCTACAGAAAAAGCTTGAAAGTGGTAGACAGAACAAGGACTTGTCCCAACATGTGCTGTAGACTGAAGATGAGAACATAGGCAACATGAGTAGTCACTGTGAGAAGGGGATACATGTGATCTGCGTGATGAACAAATCATTTACTTTTTAATATCAATCAGGTAAATCCTATGTATTACTTCATTAAATGTTATGTCCTAAAACTACAATTTAAAAATGAATTATATAATATATATAAAAAAATTCTTATTTGTTCACATCCATTTGCTTCTACTAGGGTTTGCCAATGATTCAGACGAAACATAACATTTTGTCCCTAAACATGTTTCTTTTTACCTGGGCTGTAGCTTGAACTGCTTGCGCTGCTGCCATGGTAATTGCTCCTGCTCCACTACCTGAAGATAATGAGCCAATGTTATAGGATGCCAGAGGCTGGGAAGAATTCACATTGTAAGCATTGTTGGAAGAGGGTGTGGAATTATTATTTCGGCAACCTGTAGAGAAGAAATAAAAATGGTTACAGAATAATGTTTACTGAGTTTAAAATGTATTTTCCAACACAGATAACATTATTAAATTTAAATTCTTCATGTACTACACATTGAGTCCAATGAAAGACATTTTTGCTTCTTTTTTCTCCATATGCAGACTTTAAACAGGTAACAAACTATATGATGCATTAACCTTGAATGTTTTCATTCCCATTTATTTGAAAACAAACAAAAAATTGTATTTAAGAAAATAACTTTACCCAATGTATTTTCTTTAGAGGCATCTGATGTGAGGGTAGACAGAAGGGCTTCAGATTTAAACTTCTTTTCAGGAATATGATCTGTTGTTGTATGGTGAGAAGTTGGATTATATTTCCTTTCTGAATATAAATGAAGAATTTGTGTGTTTTTAAACTGTGAAGAACTACGGACAATGCATAATACTTCCATCCAGTTACAAACCAGTATAGTTACAAATGAGTCTGGGGTCCTCGTGAAACACAAGATGTTGTATTTTTCTCAGAAGACAGCACAAGAAGAACTTTTGGTACCACATGCTTCATTCATATGTTCTCAGATATTTCAAAACCTTTACCAGTAAAACACTGAAGATAATCCATAATGTGCCATGGTTTCCCGTATTACCTGAGGGGAATTTTGCTCTCCAAACATTATATATCATTAGGAGTAGTTCTCAATCAACTTTTCTTTCCTATCAAATTGATCTGTCAAAAATGTACCAATAGTCAACTAGACTGTCAGCCTCAATTCCTTTATTCACTAATTTAGCAATCATGTTCATTATCTGCCCAACATTGGGGTAGGTATGAGAAAAACAAAGGGCCTACATTAAGTCAAATATGTTTCACCAAAAGAAAGTAAGTCTGCCAAGAATTGCAATGCGAAGATGTATTTACACACACACACACACACACACACACACACACACACACACACGACAGAAGGGAAGATTATTTCTCAACTGGTTATGTAAAGGTAATAAAAGAAAATACACAGGAAATACACTTGATCTTAGCCAAAAGGCCAAGAAGCGATGATAATACACAGGTAATATTCACAACTATTTTTTTAGTTATAGTTAAAGAACCAAGTATTTAACTGTATTTAGCTACACTAAATCAAACTTACTTTCCACTGGAGTATGTGAATGAGCATGGTGATTGTTCACTGGCTGTGAAGGAGTATCTAATTCCAAAGATCCTAAAAGAGAGGAACAGAAACATACCACCATTAAATATCACCACAGAATTTCACGCCAACTGCTACAAGCAAAGGTCTGTCTCCCTTATCAAGCAAAGGACTGGCAAGCTTTGATGTAAATGTCTGCATCGTGTTAGCCAGAAAAATCAGAGGATCGCCACTGCCAGTTCCACTCTGCACTATCCTGTCTCTACATCATAAAAAATATATTTGTCAATATTCACCTTAAATATAAAATGGCTCAAGGCACACTAATGTCTAATTAGGGAATCCACCACAGTGGGTGCCACGTAAATGGATGAAAGGTCATTAAGCCCCATTACTGATAAGATCTAAAACACTCAACCTAGTATAAAATATTTGAAGGCCTTTCAGAAGGAACTTCTAAAGTTCTAGGGGATGGGGACATTACTGTATGTATTACTGTATTACTGCAATTCTTTAATATTAAAATGACATATAGTGAACATTTCCTAAAAGTTAGGGATTTTGCTTGCAAAAAGTGAAGAATATAGAATCTCTAACACCAAGCTTCAAAGTACTTTAAAAGAAATTCTCTGAGTTGTGTTTTTGGTCTCTTGAGATGAAATTATGGCAGGGCACAGGATGGAATAGTTTTTATAACTTATTCCAATTTAATTTTGTATGTCTGTCCTTAGAGAGGATGCTTTATTAACCTTCCTGCAGCACTGAACAGGCATGAGTTATTATCCTCAACTACATAAACATTTCAAAAAAAATTCAAAACAGTTGATATAGAATATTTTATTTTAACCCCAAATACTTATCACCCTAAAACAAGGTGCATTCAGAATAAAAGTATCATAAATAAATTAGATGATTATCTAAAGTGATGGATCTATTTTGGATTTTTAAATCCAACTACTATACCATAATAGAATTAGTGACTGGCTTCTCAATGACCTACAGTGAGCATAAAACAGACAGATATATAGCCTAGCACTGTCAAAATCTTTTATTTGTAAGTTGAAACAGGTTATGTATTCTTAGTGTTAAAATTCATCATGGAAAAAGATAAGTTTGAATACTTTAATTATATTCTAGTAGAAATTAGCCATAATATTAATTTGGGTTTCTTAACATTTAGTGAACACCTCCTTTAGGCCTAGGACCACACTATCTAGTTTTATGTACCTCACCTATTTATATTGGAAAAGATGCAAATTAGTCAAAATATTTTTGAATATTCAAAGATAAGTTACAGCAGGAGATTGAGTGCTGATTTCTCAGCACATAAAGTTGAGGCAAAGTCTTAAGGAATTCTTAAGAAGAAAGGTTAACAGCCTTCCTCAAAGCTACAATGCATAAAGAGGCAGGAAAAAAAATCAATACATTAATGACAAATGGTTCATTTGCTTCTCAATGGTTACATTTCTTTACATGTTTTTCTTGACAATGATTTTTACTAGTATACATGGATATTTTAAAAATGGAATGACTTAATATGTTAGTTTCACAAGAAGTGAGATGATATCCTATTATCATCCCACTCAGGATCCATGATCCCAACAGTTACATCTGCATGGTTCCAAGTCATGCAACCTGGATGCCACCATCCACTAAAGGGCAGTATCTGAAAGGCTTCTGTGGCACAAGTGTCTCCGTAGTGATTTGCATATGCATTGTCCAATATTGATGGAAAACTGTAAATTTTACTTACGCCTCTCTAATATCTCTGTGATTCCAGCATTATCAGCTTCCAGCTCCATTTTAAACTTAGCCAGTTCCTGATCCAGCTTTCTCAAGTGTCGATCTACCTGTTTGAAAGAAGATCAAAGATAACCACCAAAATTTGGGACACTATTAGTGTCAGTTTAATGAGGAAACCTAAATCTTTGTTTCTTTGAGTCAATCTGCTTAGCATCCTTGAGCAAGTCAGTTAACCTATGCCTTAGGTGTTTTGAATTTACCAAACAGTGCGCTAGGCTAAATAATCTCCCAAGGCTACTATAATCTATTTTAGTTTTTTGTTTTGTTTTGTTTTTGGTACCAGGGATTGAACTCAGGACCCTGCACTTGCAATGCAGGCAGTGGAACCATCAATTTTAAGTTTTAAGAAACCAGAATCTTAATTTGTAAGAAAATTTTCTACATTCAAATTTCAGAAGAAGTGGAGATATGAGAATTACAGTAAACTAAGACTTGAGATTTGAAAGGGAGCAGAGGCTGGAAGACTGGTAGCTTTTAAAAATATCCCATGACTACTCTTAGCTTAATCTCCTCTATATCTAATAAGGCCATCCATAGCGCCATACAATAGTAACTGTTATTTAGAATGATGAAAGAAAGATCTTCAGTCTACAAATAAAGTGGCTACTTTATTCTGGCATACATTTCTCCAAGCCAGGGAAGAAAACACTTGTAAACATTTATGTAAAGAGTTCAAATAAAAGGGAATTTTAGCCAGAAAACTTCATTTTCAAAAGCCTGATTAAAATGATTTATTTGTAATACTATGCCCTAGTTAAGGTGACAAAATTTTATTTTCTCACTTAACTAGAGATCTTTGGACTAATTCCAGAAAATTTTATGTCATCTCAAAATAGCAATGTGCTAATGTAATTCAAAGCTTTTATGAAATTATTTTTCAGTGAGTAACTCTGTACTTATTACTTTGCAGTGAAACAAAAAAGACCTAATCTTTGAAAAATATTATATGGACTATAACTTTTTTTTCAAAGTCCAGTTTTCCACTGACTCACTTGTAATTACATAAAACTTTCTTGTGAACCTTAAAAAGTGCTACAATACAGCATGAGGGCAAAAATTTAAATAAAAGGCTCAATTAAATAGCGTTTTTCTAACACAAGGGACAAAGGAACAAAATTAGCAAAACATAGGTTACTTAAGTTAGATGCTTATGAAAAGGCTAGTAATGTCTCCTGCTTGTGCATTGGCTATATATCTTCTCTACTCTTCACTCTAATCTTCTGAGGTAGGCTATTACTGTCTCTATTTCATAAAAGAGACAGGCTCAGAGGGGTTGAGTAACATGCCTGAAGTCATAGCTAAGGCATTACAGAAACAAGATTTCACTTTGATCTATCTCTAACAAACTACACTTCATCATTTATACCTAACACTGTTTTCTGAACCTCTGCATACAAGAACCAACTGCTTTTAACTCAGAGTAATGTAATTCAAGTCGAAAAACTCCACACTGCCCTAATATTTATATTTTGTACGTTAGTAGCAACCACTGGGGTGTTAGTTTGTTATTTCTCAGTCATTCAAAGCCTACTTCTCCCTCCAACTACACACACAACTTATTCTTCAAATGTTGGCAGTTGTACATACAATATTTAACAACCTACAGGGCACATATTATGAACACTTGCTCCTATTCAAAGAATGTGCAGGTAATTTAGCATCTTTTAATGGAAACTGTTTTCCAATAATAAAGAATGAAAACACAAACCTCCATTATTCAAGAATATTTCCTTCATTGTCAAAATTTAATCTCCAGGGAAATCAGGATACATACTCAAGTTTAAGACACTAAATACAATGAAAACACTCCATCTTATCTACAATTACACTAATTTAAATACGGAGTTCCAATTCTGTGCTTGGCACTAGAGTAAATGGAAACACATGAATGTGGAAGTCACTACCCTCACAGGAATTAGAACTTGGCATTCGGGCAGCTGAAGCAGAAGGATAGCTATGAGTATGAGGCCAGCCTAGGCTACATAGTGAGTTCAAGGCCAGCCTGAGCTATATATTGAGACCCCATCTAAAAAAACAAAACAAAACTAAGATTTATGTAAGATTGTTAACACAATAAATAAAGGTTGAAAAAAGATAGTCAAGATAAAACAAATAAAAAGGCACATTTTAGGCTGTGGTAAAGACCAGGGATGTAGCTCAGCGGTACAGCACCTTTCTGGCAAGCGTGAGGTCCTGAGTTCAATTCCTGGTATTAAAAAAAAAAAAAAAAAAAGAAAAGGGCTGTGGTAGACACAAAGGACATATGAGATAGTAAAGAATGGATTTTTAAATAAATGAGAGGGGGAGTGATAATTTTAAAATGTATAGAGACTGAAAGAGCCAAACAGGTTCCTCAAAGAAAGTATGATACAGCCTGAAACATATGTAATGCAGACAAGGACAGTGTTACAATCTTGCTGGGAAGGGGAGTGTTAAGGTGAAATGTAGACCTTTTTTTTTTTTTTTTTCCTTTTCACAACATTCATATTCACTGCTTCATTAAAAACTGCTTTATTTTATTAAATGCATTACTGATGAAGTACATTACACATGAAAGCAAGGGAAAATGATAAAATTTCCAATACTAGATAGCTCAGAAAATGCAATATAATTCAAAGAATGAATAACTCTAGAAAACAAATAAGTAATTAAAACAAAGCAAAAAAACCCCTAGCCACTTTGAGCAAGGCAGCTTTATAGTAAGGCTTCTAAGCATTTTTGCTTCTTGATATATAAAAAAGGTTATGAACTAGGTAATAATATAAGCAACTACTAGGCAATGAAAACTGTTTTCCTTAGATTTACCATTTCTGTATTAAATCAAATTATAAGTCAGAAGTTCGGCGTGAAATTTAACTTAAGCTATAAAACACCAGGATATATAAAGTGTCCCTAAAAGTGATCTGAACTTAACTGAAATCTAGTATGTGTCCTCCCTCTACCCACAAGATTCCCTCTATCTACACAAATGGGTAAAGCACCTGTTCTAGGTGATTATCACAATGGTGCCACAGATACGCGGCAAAACAGGAGCAAGTCATCCCACCATTTCACACCTACCTGACCTCGTAAGACTAAGTTAGAGCAGCAAAGATAGTACTTAACTGGTCCATTTGAGAGACATTTCCCACTGGTTACTGATTTCCAATACAAAGCTGACCACAGTCTTATTACTGATTTATTCCCAGCATGAGTAAGGGTGGGTGGATGAAATACACCCAGATCACAACTTACACTCCTTATGAAATTTAACCTTACGCACACAAGGGAATGTCAGTAAGTGCTATCCACAAAGCTTCCTTGTTCTACACCAAGTCATATTCTATAACCTCAAATACCTCCAATTACAACTGCTTAGGTTTAAACTATTACCCTTTCTGAGAACTCTTTAACCATCCTTTTTTTTTTTTTTTTTTGGTACCGGGGATTGAACTCACGTCCTTGCGCTTGCAAGGCAGGCCACCGAACCACTAAATCCCCAGCCCTTGAGAACTCTTCAGAGACAAAGGAAACACTACTTGTTAACATATTCATGACCATAAAAATTAAAAGTCACACTTGACCTCTCTACACAACACAAAACCCCTCATCTTTTTCTAAATACTTTATTCTTTCTCTTCTGATTGCCTGAGTTTTTGAATATTCAAATTTTAAAATGTATCATTGATAGATCCAAATTAAAACTAGACATAGCTTTAAAAGTGTATTTATGTGAGGGCTGGGAATTTGGCTCAGTGGTTCCACCACCTGCCTCCAAAGCACAAGGGGCCGAGTTCTATCCCTGGTATCATCCCCAACAAAAAGTGTATCTACATGAACAACTGCTTCTAAGATAGTCAAACTCAAACATTTACATGTCTAGCTTGTTCATTCAGAATGAGCAAATGGTTTATGAGGTTTTAAACTGAAGTCCATGGCAATAAGAGGTAAATTTCAATCTATGTGCAGATTTGGCTATAGTGAATAAAAAAGATAAACTGGGGGGAAAAAAAGAACCATGATGGTGAAGTATTTCTCTGAGAAGTCATTTACATCACTGTATTTAAACTAGATGAAAATTTGACCTATCCTTAGACGTTTAGTACTTGAAATCTCAGCACATAAACTATACCTAATCAGCCTCCTAAAAGACAATAAGGACAAGAGACAAATCAAAAGGTCAAATTAATATATTTCCTTAGAGTATCACATGAAGGACTCTCAAATTTATAGATAAAACCTGGGTCTGAAATATAATCATCTAAGGAACAGGCCAGGATATAAAAAAGAAGTAAGTTCAAAGGTATTGAAACACTGCAAGAGACTGCTAAAATCATTCAAGCATTAACTAAAAGCTCAAATTTTATCAGAGCCTATATACATCAACTTTATTAGGTATAGCACTCTAATATATCCTTAGAATGGGAACATTTGGCTAAAGAACACAAAGAAGTGTTTAATTACTATTTATGAGTATTAGGATTCTAGAAGAAAATTATTTTAAAAAGATCAAATTTTATTAGTCAAACTTCACTACAAGTACTGGAATAGATCATCAATGTATTCTACTGGACTCCTAATTGCACAAATTTCTTCATTTATTGATACTACCCAATATGGTTTCCCTGCCTAATAAAGGAGGTAACCAGTGCAGTGCTGGCCTTAGGACTAAATCACTTGACTAGAGTTCAAAGGTAAGAAAAAATTTTTGAAGTAAAAATACAATGAAACACCATGTTTATAAATGTTATATAAAACACTGAGGGATGAAATATATATCCCTTATCAGAAATGTTTGGCAGAAGTGTTTCAGGTTTGAAATCTTTTCAGATTTTAGAATATTTGCATATTTATAATGAGGTATCTTGGGTATAGATCCCAAATCTAAACACAAACTTTATTTGTATATGTGCTTTATACATACATATAGCTTGACAGTAATTTCATAGAATATATTTAGCGCACTCAAATTCTGACTGTGATCTGTCACGTGAAGTCAGATACAGAACTTTCCATTTGTGGTGATATGTCAACACTCAAAAAGCCTATTTTGAAGTATTTCAGATTT